ACGTAGCCGATGGTCTAATGAGAAAATTTATTTTTTGAAAAGGAATTTTCTTATTGGACCATCGACCACGTCCCGACATCCGACAGCGACATACGACGTATTGTGTAACAGGCCTTAGGGTGTTATAAATACGGATAAGTTATACGCATTCGTATAAGATTACTTATCTTTTCTTTGAAAGATGCTATCTTGTGCTATTCTTTATGAGTGCAAAGTGATGTAACCAATGAACGTAGTGTACGCAATGTATATATAATAAAAAGCGGGGAGTATTACTTCCAATATAAATACGATTATTACTATTACCTATAGTTATTCGAAATTTTACTTGTGGTTGTTATTGCAATATTTATAGTACACCTCACCAAATTAAAAGCTCGTTTTGGTTTATGACAACCATATCATATGTTGAATGAACCAATATTGTGTCTATGAGAAGTATAATACATTGTTAGATCAACCGTAACCTACGTAGTTGGAAGAATTATATAAAAATGTGGTTGGCTCCTAAAATGACTATAAATTATAGTGAGATCGTGATAACTGCAACCATTTTTTTCTGTCAGTGTACGAACGTACATTCACACAAATTACAAAATAGAAAAAAAAATGTAAATAAGGCTCCTATATAAACAACTTAAATTACGGATAACAATGTTGGCCGTTGAGATGTTAAAAAGAAAACTTATAGGCAACGTGAGCCAACACCTAGTTGAAAGTGGTGAACAATTATGTATAATATTGGTATCAACCAATTTTTAATGTTAGAAATCGCATAATATCGCAATACAGTTGTACGTTTCGGTCTGCAAAAGCGACCCTCTTCAGCAATGAATTAATTGTATTGCGATGTTATGTGATTTCCAACATAAAAAATTGGTTGATATTATACATAATTTTACTTTCAGCTGGGTGTTGACTCACATTGCCTACATCTTTTTTTTTAACATCTCAACGACCAACATTGTTATCCGTAATTTAAAAAAGCTATACAAGTACACGTGAAGTGACAAGAGAAGTTGTATTAGTAATATTTATTATTAATATGTAAATCGTGACCGCGAGTCAGTGGAAACGATTAAAGTTTGTGTAATCGTTTTTTTCATAGAATTTATGAAGACACTGATTTATTTATTATATTTCTGCGCTGTCTACTTTGTTTCCGTAGGAAAATTCTATTGCGTTTTTTAAATCAGATTTTAACGATATGTAATAATATTCATGATACGTCTAGTTTTATATATTCCTGAACGATAAAACTCGCTTATTACACTGTGCCATATATCAGGATTTCTTATCTCCTTAATTACATTTATATAGTGTAGAGTACAGGAAAGAGAAAAGTAGAATATCTTCCGTTATAGGCTCACACAAGACTAATACTGAAAAGAAGAGCGGCAGGATATGTTAGCAGATATCTATCATACGATCGGCTGTAACAGCTGCACCGGTATCCTTTTTTTCAGACACTACTAACGCTTTATAATCGTACAACGTAGACCCCTGTGTGCCAAGGCGGTGTAAGATGACGAGGAGATCGCGATTGTGAAGCTCACGTCGTGTCTATGTCGTCCAGCGGAATCGACAGAAAGGTGCAAAGCGTCGTTGTCTCTTAACATCATCGAAGAATAAATGCATGGTAAATGTAAATTTGTGAATCGCACAGCGGAGTTTACTCTTGATAGCATTCGTAACGGAATATAATGGCCGTCGTACGATGAGAAGTCGTTTCGTGCAATGCGAATCCGAGTTGAAAGCCGTGTAAATAATTTGCGAATGTAAATAATTGGCACTGCGCAACACCGATACATGTATCACGATTTTCGCATCTTTTTCAATTTAATCGAAATTAATTAATCGCGTACACGTCGGTCAGGAATGCGGGAATAAGTGCCACGCGCCGTTTCCGAGAAACTACACCGTGTTCTGATGTGGAGACATAAATCGAGAGGAAAATGAGAGACAGAAATCGTGATTTACTGACTTCTTTCAAGGTAATAGATCGAACGCTACTTAAGAACATCATAATCGTGAAGGATAGTCCGGTCGAAGGACATACGAGCAAACCTCAGTCGATATCTGTTCGCCCAGAATGTCGTTTATAACACTTGGCCGCGCTTATCGATCCCGCACGTTACCGATCGCTTTTGCTCTGTTATTCGCTTATAACCGCCGTAAATATCCGATTTACGGCTAGGCCAGACCGGTTCGTCGACGATAATCGGTTAATGAGTCGCAACACGTTTCCTGGTATTTCTAGCATTAACACGAACTCGTCCAGGATTTCCGACATTACTGGACATCTCGATCCCGCCATTCTGTTATTACTTTTTAAAATTTTATTTCCGTAAAAGTGAATATCTTCAATTGACCAATGTATAAAGGATAAACAGTACTACTCTGTATTTATTGCGATAAATATTACTACATTCCTCAGTGGTCGAACCGGTGAGACGCCCGCCTAGAGTGTAGGGAGGTCCAGGTTCAAACCCTGGCTGAGGTAATATTTCCCGCAGTTTCGTTAATTAGAATTTGCTAGCCAAGCGTCGTCTAGCAATTTTCTACGTTGGCTAATCATGTACCGGCGTTAAATAATTCTTCACGTTATCTTCAATTGGCTTCGCACGTGCGAAATGAAATACACAAACATTGGGATACTAAGGTACGCCTCACTTGGACACCTAACGCTACAGTGTACGATAGAAAAGTAGCAGTGGGAGGGGGTAAAGAGATCCGAGTTAATCTTAAAATAATTGTGTCAAATCGTGGAACCGCGCGTTTTGCGAAAACAAGCAACGAACCGTCTAAACTAATATCTCCAAGTGGCTACGAGCGCGGCAGATCGGTTAATCGCCGATCGATCTCGTTTCTTTCCCGAGCGAGAACCGCTACGCGGCACGCGAGGAGAAGCGGTATCTCGTCGGGACGTGAGAAGTGCAGGATGCAAAATAAAGAATAAAATACGTGCGTGCGTGCGTATGTGCGTGCGTGCGTGCATACTTGCGTGCGTGCGTGAGATGTTACATATGGATATTTACCGGTAAGGTTATCACCGCGCTGCTGCGGCCATCGGAAAGAAGGCCTGGGCTGCTGCTTGCTGCGCATATCTCCCGTCCGGTGCGGCGGCTCCGAGCCGCTCGCTTTTCAAACGATCGGAGACCACTACTTACCTGAAAGAAAACAAGATACAACAGTTAAAATTGTGTACATTTAAACTTTCTTAAGGTTGACCGCCGAACTTGACTGCTAACCGAAAGTCAAGTGATTCTCTGTCTCTTCTTAGATAATAAGCGAGAGAAAAGATAGGGATTCGACACTGAATTCTGGTAAACAGTCAACCGAAGATCATTTGATTCTCCGTCTCTTCTTAAATAATAAGATGGAAAAAGATAGGGAGTTGACTGAGCTTTGGTTAGTAGTCAACCGACGTTTGTGAAACTGCATGGCCCTTTGTGATTTACGCAATATCTCGCGGTGTTCGAACAATCAGATTTCGACAGCTAGGCGTCAATTTATGACTGACACTAATGTAAAAGTGCCATCTAAATCTTCTAAAATTCTCTTGACCGTCTTTGACCTCCGGTCGACCTAAGAATGCGAATGTAAATTCAGTAAGAAAGAAGAAATAAAAGCGACATACAGATAAAGAGAAACAACGTGAAGCTTGGGCAGGGCTGTCGCAGTGAAATCAATCATCCCTCACAATGTCCCGTTATTCGAGACACTTTGTGACGCGCAGTCAAAATCAGATTTACACGACTCAAAATACATAGTATACCTAATCGATAAATCTTATGTTATTCGATACTGTCTGTCTGATCTCGGGATGAATTCAAACGTTGTAGAAATACTATTTCCTGTCATTCCAAAGTCCCGTCAATAAATTTACTCACCCCATGTCACCGTCCTTTTTAAATTTCCCTAATTGTGTCGTATTAACGTAGACACGTGTTAAGCATTAAAAAGAAATGGTCAAGCTACGACCGGAAACGCATTTCTCGCAACTTTCAACTGAAACGCATCTCCTCGAAACTTTCAATTTTCCCACAACGATTACTTCTACTAGCGGCGCTTTAATATTACAACTATTCTTCTTCCCGGTTTAACTCTCGGTATACACGCCGAGGAAAAAGCACGCAACTTTTAAGACAGCTAATATTGAATGAGTGATATATCGCCCGGCAAACGTTGATACCGAGCCTCTAAGAAAATCCACGGCTTTTTCACGGCGAGCTTCCCAATCGACGCCGCTCTCGTGATTCCCCGGGAGGTGGCGAGCCACCCTACTCGACGGCTTTTTACGAAGGGTGCCAAACCTAGGATCGCGCGTCCCGCGTCGCAGCCCGCTCGCTCCCTCCCTCACCCGCCACCCCCTCGTCCCTTAACCACCCAGTACCGACCATCGTAACCAGCCGTATATCTTTCCGGCGTACGCCCTCGAAAGCGGCCGCCTTTGTTTCAGATATTTATGAGGCGTTTTAATTCGCACGCCGCGTCACCCAGCCGACCGGGGGGGGGGGAGGGGGGTGCCGAACGGGGACCGGAGAAAGAGGGAGCCGGGGCAGGGGGGGGGAGAGATGCGCGCGGGGTTTCTGCACGGCGTGACGGAGCGGGGCGCGAAGGCATAATAGGCATAAGGGTGCCCCGATAAAACGCCAACTCCCCGTCTCCCCGTCTGCCCCCTGCCTGCCTTCCCTTTTCCAGACGTAGGCCATAAGCGCAAACAAACTCTCGCTCGTATATCTCGCCTCAATGGTTTCTACGTCGGTGCGCCCAGGGGCGTACTGTACTGTATCGCGCCACCGTCGCGCCCCGCTTCACTTTTCTGTCCCCTCTCCGCCCTCCCCGCCCGCCGCCCCCGCTCCTCGTCTTCATCCGAAAACCCTCTCGGCCACCCTCTACGCCACCCTCTCGACCCTCCGCGCGAGCCAAGGAAATTTCTTAACCCATATTCGAGCGATTTATCGCTCGGCCGATGTGTATACGGTGTACCGTAATATTCTTAAACGGCGAGATGCGAACCGGAGCGACTCGCCGCCTCTGAATTATTCGCTCGTTATATAAACCGAACAGGTGAGTTTCTCGTTTCGCTTTCGACGACGGTACGTTAACGAGCACCTAATCTGATTACGAGACCGATCTTGACACTTGAAAGCATTATTGGATGATATCCTTTTCCCGCGATTGCCTCAACGATCTCTCTTCGGCACACGAAAATAGTTCTGACTGCAATTAGATACGCTACTTTCTGTGTGGATGTGTATATCTTAAATGGGACTTTTCGTTTATAAATATCGATGTCGCGGAACAACAGCTGTGATTGAAACTTGTAAATTAAGAAGACGTGAAATCTCAAAAAGAAAAACTGTAAGAATATCTCTGAAATAAATATGGGGCAGACATAAAATTAGACGTACGTGACGGTAATAAATTCCATCTATTAATATCGACAACGGTACAGATCGTTCTCTCTCTACTTTCTCCTCCCGCGATAATACGGCTCTCGCATTAAACTCGTATTAAATTTTGGAAACGCTCGGCAAAAAGTGGGAACGAAACTCGACCGTTAAATTCCCCGGGATATATCTCGGGGATAGGACAGTGCCGTGGATTAGTGAGGCGTTTTAAGCATTTTTCTCCATCGCGCCGGGGCGATCAATTCAAAATACAATCGCCAGTACGATCGCATTAATGACTCCCAACTAAGTGCACGTTTTTAGGAACACACAACATTCGTCTCCCTGATCCACGATCCTGGCCTGCTACGTCCCTTTACAACAACACCGACGTCTCCGTCCACCTTCCACGGTCTTCCACCAGCAACCACTTCTACCTCACCCCCCCTCAGCCCCTTTCGTGCCACGACACGCTGGAGAGGCAGCCGCACTCCTGCTCATGCTCTTCTTTACGTGCAGGCGAGTTTAACAGTAACAGTACGTCACCCTGTCACTCTTTCCCTCCCTCTCCCTCCCTCAATCTCACTCTCGTCCTCTCTTTCTTCTCTCCTCGCGGCGTCTCGTTCTATCTCCTTTTCCCGACCGTTCTCTCTCCCTCTCTCATTCTCTCTTTCTCTCTTGCGCTCTCCTTAACAGCCTTCACTCTCTAAAAGCCTGGGTGTGATCTATGGCGGGACGTTGCGTCACTCGGGGAACAGATGCAGGGCTCGTATATTACTCGGCCATATCTACGAGCAAGACGGCGAAGAAGGGAAAGGGGGCGAGTGCGGTGCAGGGTGGGACGTAGAGAGAGAGGGCGAGCCTTGCCGCACGGTCAAAAGAATGGCGAACGTCACAAATCACTCGGCTTTTGTGTGACACCCGAGCAACCCTCGCGCGAGTTTTTTTTCTTCCCGGGGTAAAAGAAAATTTACTTGTTGACGAAGAGATTCCTGCTAAACGTCAGTGCGCCCGTGCGCGAGGGGGATTGTTCTAAAAATTGGATTTTTCGCCGCCGCGGAATTTCGCCTTGCCCGATGAATGACGCCACCCGAAGGCGAAAGAGCAAGTTTTAATCTTTCGCGATGAAAAGTCCATTCGTACCGCTCGACGTCGCTTTAATTGCGTCAAAACTAACGTCGGGCGGATCGAAGTCCGCGCCCGGCGAAGACGCGAGTGTTTTTACGAATGTGAGGTAGATTATGTGCGCCGTCTCGTCAAACGTCGAACAATGAGCGCCGCGCGGCAGCGCGTTCGCCAAAGTTCGCAAATTGCATTACGTTAATACCGCAGCGGGTGAAATGTTCTAAAAACATTCCGCGTTTATCAATAAGACGAATTTTCTAACTGTCGAAACGGGCGAGAGAAGGAGAGGGGGGAGAAGAGAGAGAGAGAGAGAAACTGCGCTCTGTAAACATGCGGGAGTGAAAAGGACGGGGCCACGGTTCTCCGAGAGGCAACTGCGTGCGCCCGGTATCGTTTTGACTAACGCGACTTGATAAGACATAACGCGGCAACCGCGTATCTGGTACGCGCGATCGAAGGCCTGTCGCTCGACTAATTAGCACGCCGCCCTCGATACATATCGCCAGACACGAGTACGAAGTAGTGCCTTCACTTTTCGCGAACGCGCGGACAAAGGGGGGCGGAAATGAACGAAACGCATCGGGGATTCCACTTGCTCCGCACTTCACGTGCGAGAGAGCGTCTCCGTGTACGTGCGTTCCTGGAAACACTAGCCAGCTGTCTACGTTACGAGGGCAGAGGGGAGAGAAGGACCAAGAGAGAAGAGAGAGAGAGAGAGAGAGAATACGCGGCGTCGGTAGAGTAGACGCTTCCAGAATCTCATAAATCAGGTCAGGGTTGGCGACGGGGGGCGACTGCCGCGGTGGTTGCAGCAAGGAGGAAGCGGAGGTGGCTACGATGCGGGAGGGTTGTTAGGTAAAGGTCGACGCACAACAGTCCCATGCCGACTTGCGCGCGCACGCTCGTAAAATGCTTGGCGCCAATTCCATTCAACGGCATGGATTCGTATGACGGAGGGATATCTCTCGAGTGGGTCTTCTCGAAAGCGCCGACTCCGCTGTCGGCGTTTAACGTCGAGGGATAATTTCACCGCGAACGAGTGCTGCGGGCCGACGCGAGAGTCGGGTCCCTCCCTGTTCGTAACGCGGCACACGGGTTTATTATAATAGACGTTATTGCGAGCGGATAAATTGCGTAAGGCGCACACAGTATAGTTGGGGGGGGGGGGCTACTTGTAAGTGTATCGGAAATTGGCAAGCGCAGAAATTGGCGAAGGCGCGGGGAATAATCTACGATCTATCGATGCCACGGACGAGTATTTTATTACAGCCTCGTCGGGGATAAATTGTAGGTTGACTCGCGAATAGTTTAATAAAAGATCCGAATTTATCAGGAACATCAGCGTCGCGTCTCTCGCGGTGTATCCGGGGCTACCAACGCGTTACTTATTATCGTCGCATCTGCGTAATATTCGCGACCCGCGGCAGCGTAAGGCAGCCTGAAAGCGTAAAAAGAACTCATATACACGCGACGATCGATACATGAGACGAAGCGCGGCGTAGGGGAGGAGGAGGGAAAACAGCGACGTCGGAGGCGATTCGGAGGGACCCCAGATGGAATCAGTGCAGTTCGGAATATTGGAAAACGTCGGCCCGCGCGAGGAGCCGAAGGAGAGAAGGACCGGAAGACGGCGGAGTACGAGTAGAGCA